CTCACATTTAACCACTTCAGTCAGGGACAGACTTTGACTAGGGATGCTACAGAGCGTCGTCGCCCCCCCCCCCCTTCCCTCTGCTGTGCTGCTAGATATGCCACTTCACAAATACAGAGATTTTTGAGGACTACATTTTCTCCTGCATTTCCACGCTTCTATGGGAATGTTTTCCTATCGAAATTGAAGAGCGAAACAGAAAATGAGCTTTTAATTGACCAGTATCATTTTATAATACTGAAGAGTTAAATTACTTCCGTGGTGCGATGTGTGAATATGAAATTCGAGAGGGACTAATTGTTCTAATGCTGTTTATTTTGGCCTCTGCTGCATTTTGTTAACATCAACAGCATAACAGACACTTGAAAATCAAATCACTACAGGCAGTCAATTAAGCCTGTAGTGGATTTCCAGAGATGCGCTTAAAATGGCATTTATCAAAGTGGTTGGAAAAGTCAACTAAGAAAAGTAAGAGAGACATCTGTGAGGGAGAGATCTAGAGATGGATTCCAGCACAGCACACCAAGCGTCTCCTCTTTGTTTGGATTTAACTTTCCCCAGTGGTGCAACACAGGCAAAAGAAAAAAAGAACAGCTCAAAGGCTTCTGGGAGTTTTTGTCATGTCTCCCTCCAGACAATGTGTTTGCATGCACATATCAGACCCTGGGAGGGAAAGACACAAAGACAAACACATACAGCACACACACAGATGTATATACACACACACACACACACACACACACACACACACACACACACACACACACACACACACACACACACACACACACACACACACACACAGTGAGAAATAGAGAATATCCTCCCAGGATCATTAGGTCTGTCATGCTGTCTAATTCTGATCCAACTACAAAACTAGAACACCACTATTGTGATACATCACTAGTCATCTAAGGGTGTTTATGTCCCCATTTACAGTGTGTGTACAGTGTTGAACATAATTATAAATAAGCTTAAATATGAATGATGGCGCTTCACAAGCAGCTGTTTTTTTTTCCTAATGCATTGTTCTTTTATTTTGTAGTGCAACTTTTTGAAATAGTGACAGAATTCTGAGCACCTGGGGTGATGAAGAAGAAAACAAGTTGTCATATAAAAGGCAAAATAAATATATATACAACTTTCAAAAGCGTTAGGAGCTGTCATACTTGGCAGATCAAGATATTCAGAGAAAATGGGGTGTTTGAGAGTCGCTTAGGGACAAACACATGAAGCTTTGCTTTTGTGAGACACTTTTGGGACGCAGGGCAGTTGGGGCGTTTTTCAGGGCATATTTTAAAATTCATAACAAAATAAAACAAAAAAAGGAAGGTAAACTTCTGGGGAATTAAGTCTCTGTGCTTCATACTGAAGAGTGCCATTCATAAGATCTCATGAAAAGCAAGGGCGGAAAATAAATGTCTAGGATATAGTTTTGAAGAGCCATCATTCACAGAACTTTAGTTATTCCATGCATTATGATATGGATACACACTTTGGATACATTTAACCCATTTCATGGTCTTTCTTTCCTACGCCCTCCAATTCCGCAACTGTCCATCTCTAATTTGTTCTGCCTATTTTCTGTTAAAGATGGACGCCGTGACATGCATAGCTGTTTACACCTGGTGACCGTGAAGCCTATAAATATGCTTAATTAAAACAGTGGAATTGGTCACAGCTTGGCAATAATGGCTATCACACGGGGAGAGGAGAATCTCATTTGTGTGGGGAAGTAGAACATGATGCAGATGTGCTCTTGTCACTTTCAGCACTCATTAAGGCCAGGGATCTCTGGATTGTCTTTGAAGGAATCCTTTTAAAAGACACTCCAATTAAGGTACGTGTCCTGCGGGCGTCTGAGGAGAGGGAGAAGTCGTACAGTACCCCAGTCCTTCCACTCCTCTGTCTATCACGGCACAACTTAACACATGGCTTACAATCTTGTGTCACTTCCAAGGAATGATAATGAAATTGGAGGGTGGAGGAGGAGAAAAAAGACAGCCCAGCTTAAAAGGACCAAGGGAATCCGGTGCGGAAAATGTCATCTTCACTGTTGTGTAACTTCAATCTCATTGTCTTGTCTTTAGAGGCGTTGGGATCATTGGGAGAGATACCTCAGATTGCAGCCCTCCGGTACGCAGCGTCGCTGGAGGAGCTGAACTTGTGTTTTTTCTCAAATGAACTGCACTTGGAGAAATGTCAGATTTAAGCTGTGGCTAATATACTGCGCATCCATCAGTTAATGAATCTGTCTAATTAATCCAGCCTCGCAGCATTGTCAGAGGCTCAGTTCCCCTCGCATTGTTAAAAAGCTACTGTATCTGAAGCCGCCACCGCAGAGGGAAAAGGGAGTTTATTATCAAGTTTCACATTGCAATGTGGCCTTTGCTAGAACCCAGGGACTTTTTTTTTCTCATAAGGGCCAGCTGCTTTAAAAATGACAGGACAGTGGGTATTATTTTGGAGAGAAGATATAGTGAAGCCGTGTCTCCCAGTTGCTCAAGGGGTGGGCAGTAGATGAGGGTCAGAAAAAGAGCTGCACAGCCAGCCTACTTGCCCTCCCCATCAGCACCTCATGAAATATCTAGTCTTTGCTCCATATTTTAATGGGGTGAGGGAGAGGGATGCGCAGGGTGGAGGCTGCGTGAGTGTGTGATGGTGGAGGGGAGTCCTCTGGAGAGTTTCGAGGGGAATGGTGGTCTATGCATCTCAGTGCTTTTTTTTTTTTGGTTGTGAAAGAAAGAGGAAAAAGGGAGAGAAAGGGAGAGCAAGAGAGATTATTCTCCTTTGGAATCTGGATTCTGGGGCACACAGGCCCAGGAGTCAGTCAATCTGACCAGTCTGAGGGGGGCGGCTGGGCGGGGGGTCCTAGGAGGGCTGATTAGACGGATGCTCTCCCATCATCCATCTCGACAGGCTGGCGAAAATTGGCTAGCCCCTTGCAGGGTAGAGTTCACGGGGGGGAGGCGGTGGGGGAGGATGTGGTGCGGTGCACTGGATACCTGTCACAGCCTTTGGTCTGTTTCAGGATCTCAGCAGCAAATTAATAAAATATCGTTCCTGCTTCCCTTTACCTGCCGTGGCAGCTCTCCCTCTTGCTGCTCCTTCTCCCAGCTTGCACTGGCCCTTTGACCCCTCCGACTACTGTGAGAGATGAGGAGCCCAGGCAGCCTGCGAGTGGGCCAGAGAGTCAGGGAGAAACAGGGAGAAACTCCAAACTCCAGACCTGGCAAAGAGAGAGAGCCTCCACTTCTCTCGCTGCTGGAAGACAGCTCCACTTCACACAGACTGACAAACGACTGCCCCATGTCAGCGAGACATTTTGAAGTGTGATGCATAGAAAATGGCAACTGCAAACAAACAACAACTGAAAACAAGACTCCAACGTTCACTCTTTGTTGAAGGATTCAACCATAGACAAGGCAAATCTACCATTACAAAGTAGAGACGTTGCATCTCAAGATAAAGGAAGAAAAAAGAACATGATAAATCTTTGAGTTGGTCACAGTCTAAATAAACGTTGACATGTATTTCTGTGTGAATATAAGTTAGAAAATGTATGCACGGGTTTCTATAAGCTGTGTAAGAGTGAGTGTGAGCATGCACTCACATGGGACTGCCTTTAGAGGATGGCACAGGTTGAGTGTAATGATTGTTTTTATCCCCCGAGCTCATTCCTGCTCTCCTTTCATAACCCCCTGTTTCACAACAAGCCATAGGTCTTTCATGTTTTACTCTTTTCTGTTCAGTGTAAAACAATATAATCATGCATGAAACAACACCGCTGGGAGGGGGAGAATGCTTCAGTCCAAAAAATGTCAAACAAAAAAAGTAGGAAAATATCCCCAGGTTATTTGAGATTGTTTGCAGGCTCCTCCAACAACCCGTTCTTTATAGAGAACACTGGTACCAATGAGAGAGGAGCATGCGATAACTATGAGGCCTTGTCATGAATGAAAAGACTCCATGATGGTAGTTGGTTGAAGGATGAGTGTTGTTAAATAACCTTCTTTGTGGTAGAGTTGCATGTAGGTGGATCAGGACTTGTTTTATTCATGGATGCTTTGCTCAAATGACTAGCAGATAATGATCATATTCACCTTCCTCCTGGCATACAGACGCCTCTGTGTTTACAACCTGAATCTCAATATGAAAATCGTTGCGGATCAATGAGCCGGCCAAGCCCTGGATACTTCCTCTAGCTACCTGCTTATACATAGACCTGCTAATCCTAAGTTTCAGAAATGTTGTACTTTGAAGATGTGGTGAGGAGCCTTCGGTTTCTCTATGCGCTTTAAGGTAATTTAGGATTAATTTCAGTGATTGGACTGAACACCACGGTTTAAGACTTAATATTTTAATGATTCAGTTTCTTAAGGTAAATAGAAAAAAGAAATCTGGATATGAGATGTGCGCCATGTGTATGGAAGAGAATACCCCAAACAAAACAAAGCTGCTTGAAAACACCACCACAGTGAAATAATATAATAAGGTCTGTTTCATTTTTTCAGGTTCTCCAAGGACTGGAGAAAAAGATTGCTTGAAAATGGATTATCTCTCTAACGTTGCGAGTTCATAAGTCCAACTACTAACTTTGTTGAAGGGCAGATACGGTCTCCCAGAGGACAAAGCTCATATTTAGCCATGAGGCATCCTCTGTGATTAGGAGGGCAGATGCAAGCATATTGACTCAACTGTGTTTTTGCCTCTGCACTGTATGTAATTACCTCTTCAAAAACGCACATTCCACTAATCCTCTAATTCCAGATATTTTAGTGCTCTGCTGGTCTAATAAGCAAATCATATCATATCTGCACATCACAAATGAGTTTTGGAAACGGACTGAAATAATTCCTTCTGAGTCTCTTCTCCCAGCCGAGATGGAGAGGATAGACGGAGAGCAGTGAGCTGTGTTTAGTGTTTGTTAAGCTGTCATGTGTGATTAGCGGTCGCAGCTTTTGCTGGTGGCCCTTTTGCTCCGCCAGCCCGAGGCTCACCTGTAACTCTGTCTGGAAGAAGAACTTCTGTGGGCACTGCGAGCAGTCGTAGATCTTATCCTCTTGGCCGTGTGTGGAGAAGATGTGCTGCTGGAGCTTATTGGCCTGGACGAATACTACGAGGAAAGGAGACAAGGCAGAAGAGGAGACATTTATGAAATGTTGTGCAAGACTTTAAAAGTGTTTGATACCGCACAAATAGTTTTGACTGTATAACATTGGTACTCTTTGCCTCCCATTGTTGACTGTGGTAAATTAGAATAGAGCCTTGTTGCATGCATTAAGGGAACAAAGGCAAAATCATAATCGCATCTGCCTGAGTAAAAATTAAAAACAGACTATGTCAAATGGCAAAGGAAATTACTTAATTACAAACAAATGAATGCACTATCAACAATAAAAAAACACTGTTATGAGCTGTATAATTGGAAGAAAAAAACCCAGAACAATTTAGATGTTAACAGTGAAGCTAGAGTGGTCATATTCATGGCACTAGAGCTAGCGCATTCATAATATTTTGGGAATAATTATGGTCTTTATTTAGCACAACTGTAGGGACAACAAGCCAGAAAATAAACAACCACAAAAAACTGGCATGGCTTCAAGTGCAAAACATGGCCTCCATTAGTCTACATCGCTAATTATATTGACAATATAAATATTCATGTTGTTGCACTACTTATTCATGCAGACTGAGACTACACTCACCATCATATAAACACACAACTCGCTGGCACTTAAAACATATACCATACATTTGTGCTTTAATTAAGCCAAAGTCCACACTGGAAAAGACTAAGGGGGAGGCAATTGTGCGTCTTGGGTGAATGTGTCTTGCATGTGTGTGTGTGTCTGCATTCTCCAAGGAGCACTTCAAACATGCCGTTTGTTATCCCAGACCTTTGTGCTTTAAGGATGGCTGTCTAATCTCAAAGGTCTGGATGCTCTGGAAAAGTTAGCATGTGGGGGCTTCATTTGAATTTCTTACAGCTTAAAATAACTTTTTCTTTTAATGCATGCACCGTGGGCCACAAGGAGAGGGAGGAACAACGCACAGCCACAAAAGGTGAGGTTTGTGTCGGAGATGGCTTAGGGGTCGCTGCAGCCCCGTGGCGGGGCTCTGCAACATTAACGTGTCCCAATTTGAGCTCACCTGGGAGAGCGGTTATTAATTATTGAGCTGCGTACACTTGAGACACACTCTGCTTCATTGAATGTCACACTCCTGACCTGGGAAATAAAAGTTAGATTCAAAACAGACACTGCAGTGGTGCTTTCAGACTGCTAATGCCTGGGTGACAGCTGTCTCTGGAACATGCAAGCATGTTAACCCGAAATGAACAAACCTCCTCTAATGAACAAACAACAACTCTATGGTCCATTTCTGAAACTAATGACCACAACAATCTGAAGGCAAACATAATAGCAGATAGATGGCTGGTTTTACAGTTTGCTACAAAACATTGCGCTCAAGGTTAAGGCCTGGGCCATCATGCACAATTGTGCCTCTGTTATGCTCCAAAAACGATGACAATTTTCTTTGTGGGGAATACATGCTCTGAAAGACAAAATGCGCTGATAAACAATAGGTTTTTTTTCTTTGGCTGCGTTTTGTCTGCATATACTGTACAGAAGCAGGTCACAGCAGCCGCAGGAAGCCTTCATTATGTCTTTGGCTAGCGGAAGAAAAAGTCAATACAGCAAAATAAAAATGGATTTGAGACTTGGGGGGCCTTCAAATGCTGTACAATAGGGCCAAACACAACTGAGATGTCAAGTTAGCTGATGCTCGCTGTTTACATGGATATTTGGTCCACTTCCAGTAAGAGACACATTTAATCAGCTATGCATTTATCAATTTATAGTGGAAAATGACAGCTTAGTAAAAGGGCCAGATCCTAAAGTGCCAGAGCCTAGAACCCACTAATGGCACTTAGAAATCTCCTGTAGGAAAAATAAATTGTAAATGGACGTATGACATTTGAGGCAAAGATGCAAATGGTATCTCAACTACTTTTTCAGTTATTTATATCGTTGAGTTTTGACATTTTTAAAGGCTTGGTTGTATTTATAATTGCTATAGATGAAATTGTTAGTTAGTGTTTGCTAATACAAACTGTTTTAGCCTTTTAATTAGTGGTACACATTTCAGTAAAGCCTCTTTTTGTGTCTTGAAGCAACATGTAATAAAATGATAAGCTGCATTGGGCAATGAGGGGACATTGTATTGGTATTTGGCAGAGTGAGTCACATATGAAACATGCCATTGCAATGCCCATTTAGAGGAGGAACAGAGGCATTTCTTCCAAGAGGGTTAAAATGAGGACATAGAGAAATGGGGAAAGAAATAATCCAAAACCACATCCAAACAGGATCAGTGGCTGGCCATTGTGTCTCTCCCTGCTGAGAATGAAAGAGAATAAGGGAGAGAGAGAGAGAGAGACACAGAGAGTGGGAACTTTGTGGAGTTTGTTGGCTGTGGAGCCAGAGCAGAGCGGAGCTGAACAGAGCGCTGAGCCGGGTTGGGCGTCAGGGGTGTCAGGGCTGAGGGGGCTGAGGGGCCAAGGTCTCCTCGCTGTGGGGGATATTAAGCCCTCTGATTAGATCTCAGGGGCCGCCCATGGCAGACGTCTCCTTTACTACAGGCCCCAGCTCATCTTTATTTTGGCAGGGTGGTGCTCTCTGCAGGCTGCACTGCACCAATACTAAGCTGTTTGTGAAGGGAGGAAAAAAAAGTTTATCCTTTTTTCCCCTTTCTCCTTTTCATTTATTTATTCGTCTAGCCTACATGTGTTTGCTTCTGCTTAATCCAAGAGTTCACAATGCAGAGGCTGATCCCAGTGTTCTGAGGCACAACACAAACAAGTCGACTGCGAGAGTTGATTTGGAGCCTTCAAGTGATAATTACTAATTTTGAGTCTGTGCTAAGTCTACGTTGTTGTTGTTGTTGCTGCTTTTGGATGTAAGATGTCATAATGCTAACATGCAGCAGCAGATCCGGACAGCAACGAAACAAAAGCCAATTAAACCACTGTATTTGTCAAACTCTTGTGGATTTGCATCCTGTAGTTTTTCAAGTTTGTGCTTCACGCTGTGACATAAGTAAAAGAGGAAGCGCACACACAGAGACACACACTTACGACTTTCATCAGGAACACTTTCTTCTGTTTTGTTTGTCTTAAGCACATATTCCCAATCACAATTTCCACACCAGCCCTCACTACTGTTCCTAAGGGTGCAGGCAGACACTTCTAGCTGCAGGCTCCCCCACTTCTGAAACCTGTCAAATCTGTCCTGGGAGAGTCAGCCTCCCTCTCATCATCCAGGGGCTTATGGACCTCTCTCCATTTACCCTCCCTCCCCTACACAGTTCTCTTTTCCTCCTTCTCTTCCCCGCTTTCATCTCACATCCAAACTTGCCAGTTGCAACCTTCTCAGCTTCCACCAAGTTTTGTCTCCTTTTCTCCTCTATTTTGTCTCCCCTCATCTACAACTCACTTTTCCACATTCTTCCCTCCGCTCTGTTTTTGTTTGGTTTGGTTTGTCCTTTTCTCGTTCCCTTCGGGGCAGATTGAGGATAATCAGGTATGTCAAAGAATGACAATCACCTCCTGCCTCCCACCAAGTTTACTGGGCCGCAGGGGGGTTTATCAAACTAAAATATGGGCATCAAGGGGGGATGATCTTTTGAACAAAGAGTAACCTTGGTAATCAAGTGAACACAATGACCCAGCCATTATTAGTTGCACCACCTAGTTTGATCAAAGCCTTTATAATCAGACTCATCATGTCTGTACTGTATGTGTGTCAAAGGGACTCTTTCTCTAAATAATAAAAAAAAAGGGTTCTGGAAAAATCAAAGTAACTATTAAAGTAGTACCTTTACTCCTCCCCTAATTTTATATTTTTATACTTTTATATATTGTTCTGGTCAAATGTATTGTATACACACTTTAACTTCGACTCGGACTACTCTATATGTTTTGCCAGTTAAACGTTAAAGGTTTACCAAAGGTTCACATCCTAATTCCCCTGTGTGGTTAGGTTAACATAACAAACCCACTAGGGTTAATTAAAGATCATGGTTTCGGGTGAATGCAAATAAAATACATCCCGTCTTGTGCACTCTTGACTTTTTCACAATTTATCCGAGACCATATTCGTTCCATAACCTTAACTAATTAATGTGAGTGCCTGAACTTAACAATTAGAACATTCTTCTGAAGCATTTAGTATCATGTTTGTATAAATTGCCTTCAAATAAATGTGCGTTTGCAAAATAGAGATTTATAAAAGTAATATCCTATCCTATCCTATACTAGGAGATATATATATGAGAAATATATGAGGTACTTTTTATTAAATGTTGGAACTTTGTTTCATTGCTACTTTTACTGATGTTGAATAACTGGATTGTGCTGCTGTATAAGAGAAATTGAACTGATCATAAAAAATAAGCCTTATGCTAACACAACTTATATTTATTGAACAATATACTGTAAGTAAGTGTATGTTAGGCTCTAAAAGTATTGTCTTTTCACTACTTTTCTCTAGGCTTAACTTGAAGAAATATATTCAGAGACAGCTGTCGGCCAAAGTCTCAGTTCCTCCTTTTCCTCCGAGTGCTCTGACTTCAGTCTGCCTGTCCCCTGCATCCCCAACAGAGGGAGGCCTTTCAGCCCATGCAAACTCTCCACAGCCTGCCTGCCCCGCCACACTAGGCCTTCACCCATCTGTCTGTCTGCTCTGCGACCACTGTCCTGAGGGTGTACTCTGTCTCTCCCTCCTCCTCCCCTTCTCCCTCCCAGCATCCTTCTCTCTCATGCGCCGTGATCGATATGGACGCGGAGGGAGAAGGGGGACCTGTCTGTCAAAGCCGGCGGTGGAAAATGAAGGCTCAGATGAAGGAGGCATGCTCTGTATATTAAATGCCCAGACCCCTGCGAGGGGTGGAGGGGGGTTCGGGGTGGGGATATATCAATAGGCTTCTGCTAAAAGAGAGATAAGGCCAAAACAGCTATGAGAGAAGTAGAGCGGAGTAGCGGGAGGTGAGAGGAGAGAAACAGAGATGAGGAAAATGAATAAGGAGCTGAGCTGAGCTGATTAAGAGGTAAGAAAAACATATATTGACACAAAATCAAAAATGTCAGCGAATGATGTTAATTGGTGTAGAAAATGAAGAAAAGACAAATTAGTTTTTTAGGGCGATGGGTGTATTAGGAGGAGGAGGAGGGGGGGGTGCAGGAAGCGCCAAAGAGAGAAATGAGCTGAGGACCCAAAAATTGTGAGGAAGAGTAAAGAGCTGAGAAAGGAGAAAGAGTGAAGAGCTGAAGTTAACGACTTTGCAGATTTCATTATAGAGATAGTTAACCCTGTTGACACTGAAGGAGGGCGCTATCCTCACAGGAGGAGTCCGGTCCTTCCACCTCCACGCACAGAGACAGATGAGATCATTACAGCTATCAGCACCAGTGCCATCCACAATTAGCACATCTTCTTTTCTTTCCTCACTCCTCCATCCCCCCCATCTCCCCTCAGCTCACACTGCCTTCCCCCCTGCTCTCGCCCTCCATCGCCCTCCATCGCCCACCCACCCTCACCTCGTGAACCTTCTTTGGCCTTGATTTGGAAGCAATTTGACTAAATAAAAAGCCACATGCAGCAAACTGTTCTAAGCGTTAGCAGAGCTGCCGGCTTGACCTCTCCCAACTCATTTAGAACCCATTCGGCAAAAAAAAATGCAAAGCTATGCATTTTTAAATGTAAATGTGAAAATGCATGTAAAGAACAACTTCACCTTCGTATCAGTCAGTTGGACTAAGAATCAATGACACACACACTGTAATACACACACACACGATACATACCTGTAAAGCAGACCGGACACTTGAAGGTTCCCCCCATGCCCTCGAAGCTGTGCTCAATCAGGTGGCATTGAAGCTTCGCCGGTGAGTCGAATGACTGACTACAGAGCTTGCATTCATGGTTCAATCCTTCCTCTGCAGAGAAGAAACAACAAAAACAGATAGAAAACTGTAAGAAATAAAAATAAGCAGAGCGTAAATGCCAGAAGTCTCACTCTGCCTTGTTTTTTTTTGTGTTTTCTTTTCTCTCACATTACAGTTTTATTCAACACATTTTTGGCAAAGACCCCTGTCTGTGATTTTCATGAGACAGGAAGTAATATAAAGTGTGATCTGTTCCCATCAGGCATCATTTAGCTGACCAGCCGGGGTTCTAACGGCTCAGACGAGGCCTTGCACTTTGAACATGGTGAGCGTCATCTTTTTGATTAACTTGCATGTACAATCATTATTTTTAGAATCTGCAATTTAAAACAGAATTTGAAGGGAGTCTTAATGAAGGAAACATCCAGGTGTGCTATGAAAGGTGATTTAAAAATTAATAATAGAGAAAGAGTCTTATTACTTAAACTGCAAGGACAAAGGAATATTAAAGAATAGTTTCCGAAACCTTCAGTTTATGTCACAAAATTATCTAAGCACTTCTTCAGTGTACAATGCCTTTAAGAAGGCACCAAAACAACTCTCCTTTATAACATGCTCACCTGTCCACATTTCTAATACAGTGATTTGCTGGTATTTAAAGAGCAGGACAGATTCTCAGTTTATCTGCTAGGCTTAGAATTCCCTACACGTCTATCTAAACATTACAATTCCTCAGCCCAGGCCACTGATAGCTTAAATAAATGTCGTTCAGACTGTCAACCTGCACAGTCATTTGCAGCACAGCAATCTGCTGACTCAGGCTTCCAGAAAACTGCCCATCTCCTGTGCGTCAATAAAAGGCCTATACACTCTGCCATGGGGCCAGACTGGTGCTCTATCAAACCCCTGCCAACCCTGAAATTAGGCCAGCTTCTGCAGGGGGCAGGGGTACAGTACACTGGGGACTGATCTAGGGTTTATCCCCAGGTCTCTATACAGGCCAGCGCCCACTACATAGGCCCTGGGTACCAGAAGCACAAACACAAAATACCGCTCAGCAGCTGTGCCCGGATCGAGCTATGCCAGGTGGAGGGTTAATCAAAGGCGCTTTAGGCGAATCTGGCAAAATATGTATGTGTGTAAACTGAAACGCAGTGAATATAAATAGGCACTTCTTACTTTGTACGTAGTTACATTGTACAGAGGTATTTGTTTATTAACCACTAAAAGTTAACATAAAACTAACCTTGTGTTTCAAGTAATGTTTATATGTAGGGCAACTGCTTTGTAACTCATGTTTGCTTTGTTTTTTTTGTCTAATTTTCCAGTTTTTAGCAAAAAGCTCACGTTATAAAGGGTTTATTAAAAAAAACATTGATTCTGACTCATAGTGACAACTGCACCCCAATGACCCCTGATGTTCTTAGGAAGGGAGGGAAATGGAAAAATCTCCTTCATTGCCAAAATAAACAGTGTAGGCAAATTGAGTTTTCTCCTGTAAAATATTACCACATGTCCTTTTAAAATCTTTTCTCAATAACATACACATATGGCAATGCATATTGCATAATGTGGTGTCTACAGCATCAAGATAAGTAAGTTTTGCATCAGCACAAGCTGACAGACTATGTTCCCCAATGACTGTCTAGTAAAAGCTAAAGGCCGATCAAAGCAGCTTTGAAAGGGACTGAGTTGATGATGTGTTCTGCAATCATGCATTTGACAGATGAGATATTCTGTAGCCTACATGTGCGTCTGAGTGTAGCAGCAGGCATCAGCAAAGAGGGGGAGGAGGGTGGCACGAACGCATCCACGCAGACATGCAGGAAGATCACTACCCTTTTTGATCACCATTCAGCCTGCTATCTGTGTGAGGGTGTACACTAAGGTCAAGCTTTCTGCAGGGTTCATAGATCTGTTCTTCTGCCATATGTGCAGCCCTCATTTGACCCAAGAGCACAACGCTGTCCCTTTGGAGACCTGGCCTGCTTCATTATGCAGATAACTCTGCACCTGCCTGACTGACCTTGTGTGCATACATGTGTGTGTTTAGTCTGTGAGCAGGTGCACCAAGCGAAAATGGCAAAGATATATTTATACAAATCACATTTGAAAAATAAGGCTGGTGTAATCTTTTGTTTTCTTTATTGTCATCATATACGGACAAAGATGGATTCAAATGTGTTTATCTGTCTCTACTTCCCTACCCTGTATATGGCGCTTGTTCCCAAATGTATTCATTCCTACTGCAGAAGTACACTTTTAACAACAATTGCACATTTGAAAAGGCTTCGTAATGTCGTAAAACAATCGGGCATTTTATCTTTTACCAAACATCACCAAAACAGGACAGAATTAAGCATTTGCTGGGCTGGGCCTTTTCGTGTACTGAAACACATTTGTTGTGCAAGTAGGGTGGTGTGTATCCGGGATTGGCTCAAATTAAACTACAGTGCTCATGTTCATTGTAACGTAGGAACATCTCAACCAGTGCACAGGTGTGGCCAAGTGATGCGTTATAATAACTTATGGACGACTGAGGTAGCACAGAGCAATGAGCTACAGTATTTGGCTACATACACACAACTTGTTAGGAGGATTAATTCATGTTTTTAGTCTTGTATTGGGACTCTGAAAGAGTGCCATGTGATGTATGGACAAATCTAGACATACGAGGAGAAAAGAGGCTGAGCGAGCGGTAGAGTGTGACTGTGTGTCTGTTATGAGTAGATTGAGCTCTGTTAGCCTCTGTAATGCAGCCTGTGTAGGCCTGGCTTTGTATTCGGCAGAGTAACAGGGGTTGAATCAAACTGGCAGCCTGTTTCTTAGTGAGAGCCAGGGGAGGAAGTCAGCTCGATCGCCCCTATGGCTGCCTCATTGGGCTGAGGTCACTTCCTGTCGCTCCCCCAGCCCTTCTCCAGGGCTGCCCAATCAGCACGGCCCTGCATGGGCCCCCACCCCTCCCCACGCACTGAGTAGGCTCTGGATATAGTTACAGAGCCACAGGGGACTGTCAGCTCTCTCTCTCTATGCTCTTCTCTGTCTCTCTCCCTCCTCTGTCTCTCTATTTCCGAGTCTCCTGAGTGTTCTCCGCTGCCACCACCCTGTCCCTCTGCACTCCTAAGAAAATCCTTTAGATGAGAACTGCTCCTGTGCTTGCTCCCTCTAAGCATCCCTGACACCAGCAAAGTAAGCCCATCTGCATATCCACAGGGCCTCGCGTTCCTGTGGCTCATGGTTTATGTATTTCGCAGCTCCTTAAAACACAAACGCCTAATATTTCTCCCATGTGGAGGACAGGAGAGGGAGAAAGGAAAAAACTACTCTCAAAAAGAATGGTCTTTATTTCTCCGCACTGTTTACGTTTTTATCCGGGCTGAAGTTCCTGTGCTGCTGAAGGTTGTTTAGGACACTGTGGCTTGCGGGTCTGGCATGCATAGTTTAGGGAAACCTTTATGTAACAACACGTCTGCAGCATATTGAATTCTGTATGTTTAAAGCAGTGGGAAAGATCTCTGTGAATTTGATGGAGACGTCTTGGTTTGCCAACAGTGTAAATGCAGAGCTGACAGTGAGTAAAACACTGAAACTTAAGTAACTAAAGACAGTCTAACGTTCTGGTAATAGTGTGTAGTTAAGTATAACACAGGGCTTTGCTTAATTAAAAACTCTCCCTTAGCTTATTCCTTTTCAACACCACCACCCCCCACCACCACTGCCCCTTACCCTATTTAAACAATTCTGCCGAGGAGCAGTTTGAATTGGAGGGGAATTCAGGACCACTTTTAGCATTTGGCTTTAGAAGAGAAAAATCTGATACTTAGATTTACACTCCTCTCTGGGGCATAGTGAATGGTTCTCTGAAGCTCACTCTTAGAGGGACCCATGCTGCTGGTGTCGCCAAAGCAGCACACTCTAACAAATGATATTAAGGACATCAATCAAGGCACTTCCTTGCTGAAAGTAATGAGTAAACAAGAGGTAGAACAAATTGAGAATATTTAGTAGGCAGGAATGGGTTGTTTTGGAAAAGCAGGAAACAGAACAACCGTAGTAATCAAAGTTAGGTCAATGCGATTCAAAGTTCCTTAACTGCCAAACCTTGCCATAAAGCCAGAATTACCTGCATGCAATGATTTTGTTTATGAGGAATATCACCTTCAGCAAGAGTTAGCTTTCCGTTCTACCATCTGTTTCACAATATTCAGCCTGATGTTGGAGTTGCGTGTTAATAAAGCAGGAAGATTTGGTTTTCAGCGGACCCACTGCTGTATATACAACCCACTACGGGATTGTGGATGGTAGCAGAGTAGACAGCTTCAGGCCTGTAAACAGTAGGTGGGTTTACTTCTCTCTTCTCTCCGCGGGAACTATCCATTAACAGATAATGGGGGGAAAATCAGAGTGATTAAGGCCCAGGGAATTATGGGTGAATATAAATTGACTCCACCTCCGTGTGGTGTGCTCTCTTGAGGTGGAAGCACTGCTCATAAGGAACAAACTCATTTCTGAAGTACTACAAGGCCCATTAAGGCCTGGAGAATGCTGCAGACGGGGGTGGGAAGGTGGTAGGTGGGAGCGCAAAGGGATGGACTCCCCCTGGACCAGAGCTGATTGGAGAACTGGCGCCTGGGGGGAACATTACTAATATCTATTTCCTGCCTCCTCAGTTTGAGAAGGACAGAGTGAATCAAGTGCAAAATGTCAAAATTAAAGTACAAGAATTAATCATAGCACCTTGGAAAATTCACCTCATTCTATCAAAGAGTTAATGTATTACACGGATAGTGATGGAAGTGTGAGTGCTATAAAATCAGAGAGATTGGAAAACTACCGCAGCATGAAAGGAGAGGCTGTACTCCAGTTTGCCTGTAGCGAAGTGGGCACGTAAAAGACAAAGTCTGGTTCTGCAAGTGAAAAGCGAAAAGGGGGAGATGAGCTAAGCGAAGCCCTCGTGTTAGGGTCCAAGTTCGGTGCATGCCTAATGCTGTTTTCCAACCTTCCAGAGGGAGAAGGAGGGGTGAGGTGTTGGCTGTGACATGTCAGTGTTGGTGACGCCCTCGCACAGCAAGAGCA